CTATTTTAGGTTGTTTACTTTCAAATTTGGAGCTAACTTCCAAATTAGGAAACTAATTTCTAAAATAAGAAACTTCCTATTTTAGAAAACTTCCTAATTTAGGAAAATTTTCATTTTTAAGAAACTTCCTATTTAAGGAAACTTTCCATTTTAAAAACCCTTTCCAAAACAGGAAACTTTCAAAATTGGAAACTTTTTCCAATATCTTTGCTTCTTATTCATCATGTGAACACTTAAACTTATGTGGGTGACATAATAGGCTCCTAAATATGTTGACAATATATTAAGAATAAAAGATTCTTCTTTTATTTCTTGGTACATAAATCAAGATTGACTTCTAGCAAGGCATTATGATTTTTCAATTCTCTAGGAGGATTAATTAATCTATTATTACCTTTCATGAGCATTGTTACCATACAATTCAATTCTCATGTCAATTTATCACACTTGTGATCTAGAACTTGGTTATAATTTTTATTCGGTTATGATCACATAAGTTTTCTTCAATTTCCAAATGTTTTAGCTCTTAGAGTAAACAAACTATGCTCTATTGGTGTACTTCTACTATGGCCATAGATTTCTTAGCGAGATATTTATCGACATACAATATGATAACTCCTTTAGCATATAAAGAATGACATGTCTTATCTTAGTCATACACCTATCTTCATTAGATTCCTAATGCACCCAAAGAATCACCTATGTGCAATCCTTTAATGGATCCATCAAAACGAGTGTCAAAGTGCATAAGTCCTCTAATGAGACAACCATAGTGACTTCGAGTCTAAGGACCATTTATACCCATCTTGTATGAGATTTTCATAGACTAAAACTAAATGGGTTCTTATGGTGAGTCAAATCCATCGACATGTTCTCTAACATAAATCACCTAAGTGCTTGTTTTGGCATCACCATGCCAATAGGTGTGAGATCTCCTACTACTATTATATAACATGAGCATAGCACTCACGGTTCTATTCTCATATAGTTAGTGTCCATTCTTGATAATGCTATGGCTTAGGATGCTTAATGATATCATTTATATGCATTAGTATTTGTCTCGCATCTTTCCATCAATCACTATTGCAAATGCATATCATAAGGTCTTCTATCCAATTCTACTTGAATTTACAAACATAAAACACAAGAATTAATAGAATGACTTCTTTATTATTATTAAAATAAATAATACATTAATCCATTAATTTAAGCTCATCCAAACATGGTTGGATCTTGGGCATCTACACTAATAATTTCTCACTTACACTATAGCCAACTAGCCATGTCCTTTAATCTCGACGATCAAGTATGAGTCTTATGTTTTAGTCTGTGACAAAGCTTAGTCAAAGGGTCAACTATGTCATCGTCGGTGTGGACCTTTTTTATCCTTATGTCGCCATGATTGATAATCTCTCTAATCGGATGCTAGCATCGTAATCCATGCTTAGACCTTTGATGAGATCTCGATTCCTTGGCTTATGCTACAACTTCGTTATTATCATAATACAATACTATTGGATTAACAATGCAAGGAGTCACTTGTAGTCCAAAAAAAAATTATAAATCCAAATAGCCTTCTTAATTGCTTTTATGGATGTAATATATTCAGCCTCGATTATTGAGTCGACCACTGTTTTTTGCTTGAAACTTTTCTAACTAACGACTCCACCATTCAACTAAAAAATGAATCCCGACTATGACTTAAAATCATCATGGTTGGATTGAAAACTAGCCTCTATGAACCACTTTCATCACTAGTCCTCTATAGACCTAGAAGGCATTCTTAGTTATTTGTAAGTACTTTAGAATGCTTTTCACGACAATTCAATGTTTTTCACCTCGATCAACTTGATATCTACTACATATACTCAAAGCATATGAGACATCAAACCGTGTACACAAATATGGCATACATGATAGATCCTATGGGCGACGTGTAGGGAATGCAACTCATCTTTTTCCTTTTGTTTTATGTGTTGGGACACTCAACCTTTGAAAGTTTTATGCCATATGATATTGAAATAAGTCCTCTCTTGGATTCTTCCATACTAAACCTCTTTAGTATTTTATCAATGTACGTGTTTTAGGAGAGACCTAACATTTTTCATGATCTGTCGTTATAGATCTTGATTTCTAGAATGTATGTTGTCTCTCTTATGTCTTTCATAAAGAAATTCTTAGATAGCTAATCTTTTATAGATTACAACATGGTGGTGTTACTACCAATAAGTAGAATATCATCTACGTGTAGAACAACAAACACTTATTGAGCTCTCACTATCCTTTTTGTATATACAAGGTTCGTCTTCATTTTGTTAAAAATCAAACTCTTTAATCATTTCATTGAAACGTTGATTCTAACTCCTAGATGCTTGCCTAAGTCTATAAATGGACCTTTGCAATTTGCAAATCCTATTTGCATGTCTTTTGATGACAAACCAATCTTGTTATATCATGTACACATCCTCATTTAATTTTCTATTAAGAAAAGCATTTTTGACATCCATCTACCATATCTCATAATCATGATATATCGCAATTACAAGCATAATCCAAATAGATTTAACATAATCCAAATAGAATCCATTGTAACTAGTGAAAAAGTTTTATCATAATCAACACCTTATTTTTAAAGATATCCTTTAGCCAACGATCTAGTTTTGTACGTATGTCTCTCTTTTAAAGACCCGGTTATACCCAATAGGTTTAACACCTTTAGGGCGATCAACTAAAGTCAACACTTGGTTTGTGTTCATGGATTCTATTTCGAATTTCATGGCTTCATGCTATTTTTTGTAGTCAATGTCTAACATTGCTTCTTCGGAGGTATTAGGTTCGTCGACTCGTATGATAGACACATCTCTATGTGTTAAGACTAAAAGGTCATATCTTTCTAGCTCTTGAAAAATCCTCTTAGACTTATGAAGTTCTTGTGTATCGATTTATGAGGTAGTTATAATGCTTTATAACTTTTCTACTTGGGGTTCCTCTAGTGAAGTGTCAATTTATGAGTCTTCTCGAATTTCATGAGTTCAACCTTCCTCCCACTTGTCCTAGCATCTATAAATTCCTTCTCCGGGAATATAACATGCCTAGCGATAAACACCTTTTGTTCTTAAAAGTAATATCCATTTGTTGCTTTTGGATATCCCATAAATTTAAATTTTATTGATTTAGGCTTAAGCTTGTCTCCATCTAAATGTTTGATATATGCTTCACAACTCCAAATCTTTAGAAAAGACAAATTTACTTTTTTTTCTTTCCATATCTCATATGGAGTCCGATCAACGAGACTTTGTTAAAATCTTGTTCAAAATAAATATCATGGTAAGGAGTGTATATCCCCAAAATGATATTGGGATATCGGTTTTACTCATCATGGACCGGACCATGTCTAACGGTGTCTGTTTCTCTTTTTAGACACACCATTCATTTATGGTGATTAGAGTGGGGTCCATTATGAGAGAATCCCATTCTTTTTTAAATGATCTAAAAATTTGGTACTTAAGTGTTCTCCATCTTGATCTGATTGAAGTGTTTTAATACTTTTACTAGTTTGTTTCTCATTTCAAACCTAAATTCTTTGAACTTTTTAAACGCTTTAGATTTATGTCGCATGAGATACACATAACTAAAATGCGATCTATCATCGATAAAGGTTATGACATACTCATATCCTCCTCTAGCTTGGGTAGACATGAGCCCACATACATTACCATATATGAGGCCTAACAAATCAATAGCTTTTTCACCTTTTTCACTAAAAAGGAATTTAGTCATTTTTTCAAGCAAACAAGATTCAAAGACATCATAAGATTTATAATCAAATGATTCTAAATATCCATTTTTATGTACTTTGGATATGCGACTTTTGTTTATATGGCCAAGTTTACAATGCCACGGTTATGTTTTATTTAGATCATTAGTTTTGTGTCTTTTTGCACGTATGTTATATACGATTATGTCTATGTTTAAAACATATAAATCATTATTCACATAAGCACTTTCATATAAAATATCATCTTTATAAAAGGAACAACTTTTATTCTTAAATAAAAATATAAACCATCTTTGTCCAAACAAGAGTTATACTATGAATATAATAATAGTTTCGAGTACAAACACAAGTCTATATAGTAGTGCTAACTCATAGGTACCTATCACTAATGGCATAACTCTTAAACCATTAGCCACGCATAAGTTAACCTCACAAGAAGTAGTCTTTCTAGCCTTTTTAGTCCTCTTAAATTTGTGCAAATGTATGCACCACATCCGAGTATCAAATACCCATGATGTTAGACTACAAGTAGAAAATTTTACTTCGGTAACATGAATACTTGAGGTGTTTTGAGAACTCTTCTCTTGCACTCCTTTATAGTGCTCCTTATCATCTATCGTATAAAGCATTTTTTCATGTTAAAGTATATTCCTCTTATTCAATTTCTAGTCAATGAAGTTTATGCCATTTAAGACCTTCCTTCTATTTATCATCGATCTCATCGATGTATTCCCAATCATACTATGGAACAACCTTAACATGATAGAAAAGCATATGGTTGGGTTAATTAAATTACATAAAATAAAATATAAATATAAATTAAAGAAGTAAAATCTATGTTCACTCTTACTATTTTCTTCAAGTTTTATAACCTTTAATATAGAATTTGAGAAAACTTTTTGATTCATTTTCTTAATGGGTTAGGATCCCATTCTCTAACATGCATTAGCCTTGAGTTATCTCAACGAGCCATACATGAAGAATTAGGTAGGCAACTCCTTACCAATTTATCTAATGTAATTCCTAATTTCATTGGTATGATAAATCCTTGTCTTATCACATCTTATATGAATACCAATCCTTGCTTATAAGTTTATTAGACCTTAAGTTATCTTAACAAACCTAACAACTCATTTAAGTTAGAGCCAATAGGATCAAACGGCTACTTGGATATATAGAGTGTGTGACGTGGGTGCTATATATAAACCACATGTGGATGGAGTGGTGGCTTGAGGGTGCTATTGGATTTAGTGGAGGAAAAGGCTGTGGTGGTTGTTGGGTGGAGAAAAATAGTTGGACGAGCTAGATCGGGTAGAGGAATAGCAACTAGAGAGGTCATCAAATGGAAATTGAAGGGCTGGATCGACTCGAACAACATCGTGAAGGCTACTAGATGGACGATGATGGTTGTTGCATGAAGAAGAAATGCTGGCGTGATGAGAGGATGACGAATGTTGTGCTTAGAATGGCATCATGTTTAGTAGCATTGTTACGGATCCGCTACCGAAAAGGAGATCGTTGTTAGCGGTTGTCATGGGGTTGTTGTAACTTTTATTAGAGAGAACGACAATTGTTATGGCTGGAATTTGTTGAGAGGGAGAGTTTGTTGGCAGAATTCCCCTTTAGAGAGAGAAAGTGGTTGGATATATATTAGGTGTTCTAAGGTTTTTACTAAATTTTGGTTCGACCCCTCTCCTTACCAACTTATTTTATTGTGGTCTTTTTCTCTTCTTTTCTTCAATTGCATCCCTCAATTATATTTTTTTAGTCTATTTTCTTTTTTTTATAAATTTTAGGTGTTAACGGTTGCCCTCTCTTTACAATACTTATGATGTGAAGTTATTAAAAAACTAATTTTTCTTGGGCTTTGCATAGTAAACTTATAAAGAAAATCATAGAAGAATGAAAAAAAAAACAAATCAATTAGCAAGGTCAAATGATAACTAGCCATCCTTAAATCACTAGTCAATTATGGAGGACCTTTCTCAAAACAAAAGTTAATGCGAGTAACCATCTCTAAGGTTAAGAAGGTGATCATCTATTGGCAATTCATAAGAGTGTTGGCGAAATACACGATTGTCATTGAATAAACATAAATTGCCACTACCAAAACATAAACTTTCCCCCTCTTCTCCTCATTTACAAGTCATTATCATTTAAATAGGTTTGAGGTTTTTGACTAGTTGCTCTTATTGATTTTTGTCTCGTTTGATCACATGTTCTTCAATTACGTCATTTTTTTTTTAAAGTTCGACCGAGTTATTGTTCATGTCGTCTAAATGGCATTTCCTCCTAAGGTTAGGCAAGCAATTGTTCATTCTTTCACTCTCCTAGAGTATTACCTTTAAGTGTTTGGGCTTTTGTCAGCACATATCAAAAATTTTAACCCAAAAATCATTAAGATAGTTTTTATCACTTGTCGTTCTTAATTCATTAGGAAGGATATTCTACCAAGTTTCATAAAAAAACCTTCTTATCTACCAAATCTAAACAAAAACTCTTACCAGGTTATCATTTATCGATTTACTACATCATCATATTTCATAAATTATGTCAATCACAAGATCGTGCATTTGACCAAAGAAAAGGCTTTGTAGCAGTGATCATGTTTTTGGAAATTGAGCTATTTTGAAAGATAAAATAGAACAAATCAACTTATGTTAGGTAAAGCTAAAATAAGATAATCAAAGTTGAAATGATTGCTCTAATGAATTTTGGCCATAACTCAAATGATTTCTTTGTTGCTTTAGATAAAAGTGAGGTCGATTAGATTTGATTTTGACTTTGATTTTTTTCAAAAGACTCAACTTTCAATTGTTATGGATTAGGTAGTATATTTGAGTAATTTTCGTCGAAGCAAGCTGAATTATTCAAAAAAAATCATAGAGATGTTTATATAAATGTAATCTCATTTAAAAAAATATTTGATTCATTTGATCGAAAGCTAAAACACATCATGCAAATGTTATGATGTAATCCTCAAGGTGTTCCTTTTTAGGCTAAGTGAGTGAAATGTATTTAGATTACATCAAAGGTTTAGAAAGAAATCATTTTTTTCTAAAAGAGAAGTGTCGAATGTTGGTTCAAAAGAAGTGAGATGTTTGAATAAATGTCATGGGCTTAAGGGCTTTTCAAGATAAGTAGACTCAAAAGGTTTTCTTGAGTCAAAGGCTTATCAAGCAAGCTCAAGTGATTTCCTAGGCTCAAGGGCTTTTCAAGAAAATTAAATTCAACTCGGGTAGTTTTGTATAGAAAGATCTTGATTTCATTTGTTCCTTGCCCCCAAGTATTTAATGAGAACTCATAATCCAATGCCATGAATGATGATTTATGATGCACAAGCAATGTTTTTTTCTTTTTTGAATTTAAAACTTATCAACATCAAGTCATCCTTGATCGAAAGGGCTTATAAAAGTACATAATGAGGCTAAGGCTTTGGCTCACGAACAAAAGGATATAAAAAGGCTTAAAAAGTGTTTGAAGGTATAAAGACCTCGGATCACATGATCACCCATCAAAATTATTTTAGGCTTAGCCATACTAACTTTGGTATTTTAATTGCTGATCTCATTTTCTAATCTCAATTCTCCTTTCATATTCACTCATATCATTTTTTGGATTCCACAACCTTTTCTAGCTCTAAATCATGATATGGGCCACTTAGAGAACACTTTCTTTTGTTTAGTGTCATTTAGTTATTATTTTTATTTTTCATTTTTTTTTTGCTCCCACTTTTCTAGAATAATCATCAAGTTTCTTCTCAATTTTTATAAACCAAATCTCTAATTTTTTTAGAGAAAATCATCAATTTCATACACCTCCAAATTGCTCTCAATATGAGGGGTGATTCTAATCTTTGTTATTATCGAAAGAAATTATCAAAGGCTCAAAGAGGGATAATAAAGGATAAAATTTATTTGTGAAAGATACACCAAAAATGGTCTTTCTTCATCTCTAGTATGACTCGCTCAAGTTGATATGCTTTAATTTTATTTGAAAATCATGATTTATGAATAAATGATTAATCAAATGGTATCATGACCCAAGCATGCACCACTTATCATCATTTAAGATATCAAATCCTTTGGCTTCTTATTTAGGGCATCATTATATTGTCCTAAGCAAGGTTGTCCTAAAAAAGGATCGTTGAGAAAAGATGCTTTTGGTTTTGATAAAAAGGAATTGCATTTTGGTATTTACATGACATGTTTTAAAAATCGATAACTTTTGAAATATATTAAATGCATTCACAATTTTACTTCTTCGACTTATATGACATAAAATGGTGAATAATACTTTCAAATAAATATCTCTTAGCTTCAAATTAATCATAAACCATGTTAAGATAGTAGAAATTTCTTTTTTATTCAAAGAAATGGCTTAATCTATGAAAATCACAATACTTTTTCTTTGTCCAATGTCATTAGAGTTAGGCCAATATTTTTTTTAGCACAATCATTTGGCTTTTTAGGATATGATGATATTGAATGTCCCAAAGAGAGAATGTAAATAATTTGAATAGAAAGAAGCAAGTAGAGATGGAAAAAATTTACACGATCTCGTAAAATAATATTATTGTGAAAGCATGGTAAAAAATTTGGCATAATGTACTTATGAACTATAATGATAGAAAGGAAAAGATAATTATAATAAAAGAACCACTCGAGTCTTAGAAATAATAGGCACTCCTCCATCAAACCAATTGCTCGGCTCCTCTCCCTGGCTAATTATGTGGACAAATCATCAACATTAATGGCATCCTTAAGTATGTTGATCGTGAGTTACAAAAAAGTTACCTACTCTCAATTAATCGATACTAGGCCAAAGCTGTCGACTTAATCACTAGCATTAGCTTTTTTCCCCCAAAGTGTTCACTCTCATGCCATGCTCCTTTTCTCTTTCTATCTTCAAAGCTCTAAGTGTCGGCATGGTCTAAATTGTTTGATGAAACTCATAGTAATCACCAATATCATGTCCATTCACCTTATGGAACTTACAAAATTGCTCAACATGAATAGAGGCTTGGGTTTCGATGGGCTTCAAGTTAAAGCCATTGGCACTCATCATATCAAACAATTGAGACAAAGATTTTCAACGTTGATCTCCCTCTATCGGATTTTATATCATCCAATGATAGCATGTTTACTCCTCCAATAGCAACATGATTCGACAAAGGATTGGAATTAATGTTCGGGAGATTTAAGGAATCTTCAAATGCAATCGAGCCTTGATTAATCAAATTTTATAACATTTTCTTGAAGCTCACATGGTTCTTAATATTATGACTATCGGTGCCAATATGGTATACACATACTTCGTTTGGCTTATACCAATGAGGAAATGACAACTAAAGCGGTATGAGTGTCACAAGAGCTATACGGCCAACAATTACTAGGTGATCGAAGAGATTACCATGAGATATAGGAAGTGATGATAATATATCATTGAATTTTCCCCTATTGATATTCCTTAGAGAGTTTTGATTAGGAGATCTTGGTTTGTTGATGAATTATTATAGGCTTTTATAATGTGTTTAGAGTCGATGTTGGTGTAAAGTCGATGTGTGAGCGATTTAGTATATATTATCTAGTGTTTGGTAAAGATTATACAGCATTTGGTATCATGGGAAAGCTAGTATTTGAGTTATTAGTCCAGCTACGCTAGTCGGATTGGCATTATAGGAATCATGAATTGCGTAGGTCTGGTTGGACATGTTGTTTTGAGGGATAAACCGACTATAATTCCTCCAAGAGTTATTCCATCACCATCTAGGAATGAAAGAAGATCCTTCGATTTGATATACCTCTAGGTCTTTTCTCTAGTTCAAGTTATTTTTTTTTATGTTCGGATTCTAAAGAATTAGTTATCCTTCCTAACTTGATGGCTTGTTTAATATGATCCGTAACGAGACACTATCTTAATAAAGTCGTTCGATTCATTACTTAGTAGATAGTAGTAATATGGGACCTTCGAGGCGTTGATAAAAAGTGTAACCAATTCTCGATCAAGAAGGGGTGGGTGAATACGAGATGTCATTTCTTGCCATTGTTGAGCATACTCTCTAATAGATTCACTCAAGCCTTTTTCCATCGATCGTAGGCTTGATATGTCGGGTGTTATCTCCAAGTTAAATTTACATCGCCTCATAAATACATCCACCAAATCCTTTCACCTTTTAATCTTGGTACGGTCCAGGTCAACGAACCGGTTAAGGGTAGACCCATCGAGACTCTCGGAAAAGAAGTGAATCGGTAACTTTTCATCATATGCAACCCCAATCATCTTATTTAGATAAATCCTTAGATAGGTCTTAAGACTTTGACTCCCAATATACTTGGTTAGTTCAAGCACCTTGAACTTCTTAGGAATCACCATATTTAGCATTAGACATTTATCTATACTAAGGAGTGGGTTATATATGTCTACGCCTTCAATAGCTCTTAAATCCTCCTCGATAGATATGAGCTTCTCTGTTTCACATCCTAAGGCTATCTTTTCCTAGGCTCGCTCTTCAATGATGAGATTAGTAGTTACTACCAACGAAACTTAGATAGCCTAAGGCAATACTAAGGCGGGGCTAGAAAATCTAGAAGCAAACTTATAAGTGCCTCCCGATGTAGGATAGTTTGCATGATTAGTAGTACAAACATGATCTAAATGAGGCACACTAAAAGGTGGTACTGGAGCGACGGTTTGAGCGATTAATAGTGACTTGATGGTGAACACTTTTAGGAAAGCCGATGACTGGCCAAATTCTCTTTAGATGATAATTTTTAAAGATATACAATTTTGGTGACTTTGTTCTAATAGAGCAATAAGTCTAGCATCCTCTCTCTTTAGCCCATTTATCTCCTTCGGTGATTTTACTCGAGGAGAGCCCTTTCTTCACTTATCATCTTTTCTCTTACTCTAGTGTAGTATATGTGCGAGGGGAGTGTAATTTTGGTAGGTCAATCTATATTTATGTTTAAACAAAAGATAACAAATATAAGATATAAACAATATATTAAAAATAAAATTACTCTTGGGATTGAATATGGAAAAGCCTTCCTACGGGGATGATAATAGGATTTGATCATCGATTCTTTGACATTTTAAAATTATTCTAAATTGGTTCAAAGATGAAATTGGGTTTCATCAATAACCCTTGAAATATTCTAACCGAGCTTTAAAACCTCTTTAGTATTCGGACATTGTAGAAACTAAACTTAAATCATCTTATCATCTATCCTAAAACATCGTGACCAAATTGATTTGTCAAGGTTCAATACATTTCACTTACTTAGTGAATTTACTTGGAAATGATGATTCTAAAATTTGGTTGTAAATCATTACGTGAATAATAAAAGAGCTATTTAAGTCTCAAATGGGGTCTCTTTAAACCGGGCAAATCATAATAAAATCATTAGGGCTATTAAAAGTGATGATTGGTAAGCATGAAAAATCATCGGTTACCCATCATGTGATAGCGACTAACAAGAAGAGTTGAGATTTTATGAGTGTTTACCTAGAGCGAAACCCATTGAGGCACACTATTACTTCCCTAAGTTTAGAGACAAGTGTGTATTATATATATAAAGTAACGAGTGAGTGTAGTGTGTGTATAGACATTATTCCATATTCGGTTCCAAAAAGAAAAAATAAAAATAAAGACACAAAATGAAATAAAATAAAAATACAAGGTAAACAATGGTTTAAATAAGACAAGCAAATTACATAAATCGGTATATAGGCATAAAAATTCATCATATCATCGAAATCAAATTTAAAAATTACATGCAAAGCCTAACCCCTTAATTGAGTCGTCATTACGTCGCGAGGAGATGTTGGGGCTAGGGTGACGTGAATGGCAAAAAATAACTAGAGTTACCATCTAATATTATGGTTACTAGGAAACCATGTGACTAGTCCATTGAGAGTTCTAGATAAGGAATATATTATATGTAGGAAAGATTAAAAATTTTCCTACCTCATTACTGCCTAAGGCAAGCTACAACGCATATAAAATTAATTTGATTTTTGATTTTTTTTTTTAATGATGAAAGTCTACACATATTTTTCAAACATTTGCCTATAGATCAAGTGATTTGGGATTTGGTTGGTTAGAGACCTCATCCTCACTCTATAATAAATGACGAAGAAAATGAAAAAGGCTTAATGAATGTAATGATATGTGGCTAATTCGACCTAAATGGCATATGTGAAAACAAGACTTAAAAATTGATAAATAGGCGAGAAAAAGTAAGATAGGCAGAGTAGGAAAAAATACACAAATAAGCAACACGGACAAAAATAAATAAGTAAGCAAATTCGACAAATAGGTAAATAAGTAATTAGGGAAAATCAACAAATTAATAAATAGACAAAATTGACAAATCAATAAAATTGATAAATAAGCAATTAGGCAAAATCGACAAATTGATAATTAGAAAAAATCGATAAATAAGTCAAATAAAGACAAAATTGAAAAAAATCATTAAAATTGACAAAAACGATCCAAAAACAAGATTCGACCGACACAACTTCAAAAGTCTTAATTTTCAAGCAAACTAATTTAGCAAGTAAAATTAACATGACAAGCAATGTTGGCATGAACAATCTAAATTCAAGTGTGGGCCAAAACGACTTAAAAGTCATGATTTTTCTAAAACAACATCTTAGTCAAAATCAACAAAAATGATCCAAACAAAGTTTCATACCGACACGATTTAGCATCACTTTTTAGGATAAAATCAACACAATATCCATTAATCACAACGATTGGCAAAAAAGGTCGAAAATAAGATTCAAACTAACACGGCTCAAAAGTCACATTTTTTTAAGGTGAATTGACAACAATATCAAAATTAATCATTATTTGACACAAATAGCTAACATAATGAGGTTTGAACTAATATGATCTAAAATTATATTTTTTAGATAAAATTAGCATATGAACAATTTAAAATTATTGTTAACAAAAACAATTCAAATACATGACTTAAGCTGATGCAAGACAATTACAAAAGCAATAACAAATATTTACACAATAATAAATACATCAATCAAATCATACAAATACAGTAGCAATATAATTAATTTATAAATATGTCAATATGAATTAAATTTAATAAAAATTAAATTAAAAGAGATAAAGAAAATAAATTACTATGAAAAGGTCAAATTTATTTGACCGTCGTCAACCCTGATAGAGATTGATTATTCAGTCAGTTAGGAAGAAAGGATAGTTGCCTACTGTCAGATTTGGATCGGATGGCTACTGGATGTGGAGTGTGATCACGGCGTGGCTGTTAGATGTTAGAGCACCCGCAAACAAAGTGGTGGCTTGAGAGTGCTACTGGATTGAGTGGAGGAAAAGTTATGGTGGCTGCTGAGTGGAGGAGAACGGCTGGGTAGCTGGATTGGGTGGAGGAACGACGGTTGGAGGGGCTATCGAATGGCAGCTAAAGGGTTGGATCGGCTCAAACGGCGTCGCGGAGGCTACTAGATGGATGACGACAGCTGTGCATGGAGAATGCCTGGCGCTAGGGGAGGACGGTAACTACTGTGCTGGAATGGCATCGGGTGTGGTGGCGTTACTACAGATCTGTTGTCGAAAGGGAGATCGCTGTTGGCGATCGTCTTGAGGCTGCTACAACTTGGGGTGGAGTGAACAACGACTACTGCTGCTGCAAAAGGTGGAGGAATGGGGTTGCACGCAGCGTTGAACAATGAAGAGGGGCTGCAGACAATCGACTGGTCAAGTTTCAGACGATGGAGGCTAGTTGGTCGGAATTCTTGGAGAGGGAGATTGTGTTGACCGAAATCGCCCTCTAGAGAGAGAAAGTGCAGGATTTATATCGGGGTTTTTAGTGTTTTTGGCTAAAATTTGGTTTGGTCCTTTTTTTTCCAACTTGTTTTATTTTGATCTTTTTCTCTTTGTTTCTCCAATTGCATCCCTCAATTGCTTTTTTTAAGTCCATTTTCTTTTTTTTTCTTTTATATATATATATATATATATATATATATATATATATATATATATATATATATATATATATATATATTTGGGTAAATTTTGGGTGCTAACAAGCATTTGCACCATAAGCAATGCAAAAAGGAAGTAACTGTAAAACTCAAATATTTCACACATTTATTTTTGTTTATTTGTTTCTTATTTTATCTTCATTTTATTTTACTTTATTTTGGGAATTTACCATAAAAAAAATAAAGAAGTAATAAAATAACAAAATACAAACAAATTTTTTTATTAATTACATCTAGGGGTCCAATTGAATCAAATGAAAATGTACTTGAGATAATTAGGAATACAATTGAATCAATTAGAAAATTCAAAACCTAAATTATAATTTACAAGAACCCAATTGAGAAAATTATAATTTATAAAGACTAACATTACATATTAAAAAGGATACAATTGCAAATAATTGAAATTTATAGGAACTAAATTGAAATTTGAGAGAGAACGATAGGACTAAATTTTAGTGAATGGCTTGTCGTTCGCTCCCACCCAGAATCAGTTCCTGGATTTCATTCTAAGATTTTCCGCTGGAGATAGAATGTGTCTCATTCATCACTCTGATTCTTGGTTGGCAATTGTACCAATCAAGAATTACGCCACTCTACTCCACTACACCACACTCTTGCACCACTACACCATTGCAGCACTCTGCACACATACGCATTTATCCCATTCCACTTGTTCTATTAACAGAATGCCAAAAACCCAATACTGGGTTTTTGGTTCTTGCACCAGGCAATCGCACCATCGAATTGTTCCAAGGGTGGGCAAATAGGCAATGTTTGCCTATAAACTAAGGAAACAAATGAAGAAGTACGGGAGGGAAATTGGGCAGAAGAATTTCAGAGAAGTTTAAGAGAAGAATTTGTGAGAACTCTAAGAAACTTGGGAGGAGGAAATAGAATTTCCGAGAAATTTAAGAATTTCAAAGGTTTTTTGGGTTCAAAGGATTTTCTGGGTTTATTATAGGTATTTCTGGATTTATGTTCCATCTTGGATCAGCAGCTCAAGTAAATCCGGCAGCACACATACTAAACAAGACTTCTAGCTTCCAAAAAATCATCCTGTACCATGTGATAGATGTGCCGTGATTCATTGGTTACTGCCAGTTAGTCAGAAGAAGATGAGATAGTCCTGATCTTCATTAATTATTGGATTTATCTCAGGTCCCTCTTACTAAATCTCCTGCTTTCGTCATCTAATTGCATTTATGGTGAGGGATAATTCTTTTTCTTTTAAATATGCTTTTTTAGGGTGAAAATCATCTCCAATCTGTATCCATTCAATATGGTTTATTTTAATTCTTCTATTGAGATATCACACAAAACAAGAAAATCATGTTATCATGTTAATTTTCGTGTTATAACATATTTTCTATGTTAATTTTGGCCAAATACATCTAATTGCTTTTCTTTCCTTTCTTTTTTTTTTCCCTCCTCATTTCAAGAGAGACAACACTTTCAAGGAAAAAAAAATTAAAAATAAATAGAATTAGTGAATTACCAATAAATTTAAATAACAAACATAACATGTATTTTCAAGTATCATTGCAATTCATTTAATTACTTTTATCAATCATTATATATTCACACAAATTTTTTTTTTTTTTTTAGTTTACGTTGTAAATTTAAAATATGCAAAATCTATTGAAAATATTTATTTTTGATTGAAATATTGAAAAATATTTAATTGTTTAACATAACAACGTAGACGAAAGCTTTTTAATATAACTCATACGTGTTTTTCGTCACAAATCTAGTCTTTTAAAAAACGAGAAACTTTTCTACACTTTTTTTTTTCAAAAAAAAAAAAAAATTATCTATTACTTTCAAAGATAAACGTAGACACCTATATATAACCTTTCAAAGATTTTATCCTCATAATTTGGTTTGAATAGTTAAGTTAAAAAGGACAGAATTTGTATTTTTTAAAAGGACAGAATTTGTTACATTGAATAATTCAAAAATAAAAGGAATAATGCAAATTTAAACCAGAGAGGTTAATTTAACTAAGATGCAATATTACAAACCCAAAAACATGGAAAGATAAACAATGACACTAAAACCTGATCATGGTTCAATGCCACTACATTATTGTCCATTACTTCAATACGCATAGGGATACATATTTGTTTTAGTTCAACCTGATCATTTATTTTTGTTTTACTTCAATACGTCAATTACTCCAATAATTCCTTCATTACCAGGATATATATTTGTGGATCATGAGCAGTGCAGCACATCACATTACTCATCTCTTAATCCATTAATATAGTCTTCGACTTTCGTAAATGAAACCAATAATGGTGGATCTTTCATAGCCAAACGTCTAGCTGCAAAAAAGCGGGCTTCGAAACCAACATCACTGATAGCGGCTAAGCCATGAGTCACGTATCTGGCTTGTAGCTTGTAGTAGGAAGCCAATTGTTCGTCGTTGACCAACCTGAATACAGTGTTTCCATAATCTTTATCTCCACCAGTAGTCACAAAAAATTTTGCTGATGTTGAGGACTCATCTTCTTCAACTATCCATGTGGTTGATTCAGCACAACTAGAATTGGTATCAAAACTGATGTATGTGGATGTGGAATCCGTAATTACACTTTCCCCATCATAAGTTGAGAATATTACAGGGATACCACTATCAAGTGGGTTTCGTAGTAAAATTACATCAATTGGGCAGGTGTTCTTCCCTTTGTCTAGGCTGACACCACCACCAAGAAAGAAGTTATTTACCCTCATATAATATGGGGTACCAGTGCGAAGCTCGTCGCCTTTAAGGTCACGTAATACATTTCCTGAAGCTTTAGCGCCTTTAAGGTCACGTAATACATTTCCTGAACCTTTAGCTGCTTCGGAAAACAGTGTTATCATAGAGGTTGACAGAAGGAAGGAGAGAACTAGTAACATAGGCTTCATTGTTATAGCTATGGCGCCTGATATTTCTTTTCTTGTGGTGTGGAATCGAGCGGACACAAGGTTGCTTTTATAGAGCTTGGGACTGCATGGGTTTCTATTATTTGTCTCAAAAACTCTATTCTTTAATGCAGGGAAAAAAATGAGTTTTTTTAAAAAAACAAGATACTTATAAAACTTGTTTATAAAAATAAGATTGTTTTAATCTTATTTACTAAAACAAGGTAATTTTTACTACATAGATTAAATTTTCTACACGTGTTAGTTTTTTTAATACTAATAATAAGTCATTTAATACATCAACTTTATTTTTTAAAAAAAAATTATATTATTATCCTAAATTCTACTTCTTTATCTTCCTTTTATAACAGAAAAATCTATTTTGTTTTTCTGTTTTTTTGTTTTAATTCTTGATTAATCAAGATAAAAAAAATAAAGATTTTGCCATGTTCCGTTTTCTAAATTTTTTTTTGGAATGCTCTGATATGGCACAGACAAAATGTTAGAGCACAAATCTTTCTTACGCCTACCAATCCCGTCATTTTCAAGAACCACTCTTCTCCATCCCTAACCCACCCTCCCTCTCCATTATTTCCCTCTCAAAATCTCCAGAAAAATCCATCCAGGATTCTTCCTCTTTGCACAAACCAATAACAACAACCTCACTCAAGAACCGGAACAAGAGAAGGAAAATGGGTAATAGGTCTTTGAATAACAGTGGTGGTGGTGATGATTTGAAGAAAGATCAACCTCCTCCCTTTAACAATATCAAGTGGGGTGATTTGTTATTGAACCCAGATCCTGGAAACATCTTGGCTGTTGGATTAACTGGTTTGCTTGCTTGGGCTAGTGTTCAAGTTTTTTGGCAGCTTTCTTTATCTCTTTTGCTATTCTTGTTGCTGCTCTTAAGTACTCTTTCATTACTGCCCTTCTTACTTTCATCCTCATTGCCCTTCTTTAAGGGGTTTTTGTTCCTTCTTGGATACTTTCTTAATATTTGTAATAATGTCTTGAATTTTATGTGCATTATTGGTTCTCTGAATTTTAGTGGCAGAAGTTAATTTGTCCTTTTTTTGCTGTTGTTGAACTTTCACAAGCTAAAGTACTATGTCATTTGCGCCAGGTTCTGCTTTTGCACAAGGGAGTAGTTCCCTCTCAATTTCAAGAGATGTGAGGAGGAATTTGCCGGCATTATATACTACTGCTGATGTTTCGATGAAATTTAAGACTAGAAGAGGGATGAATGCTTCAAAAGGAACGATTCTCAGCTAAGGTCTTTTGAAATTTCAGAACATGATTGACGTACCGACATGCATAAAATCCACAGAGCAAGTGGAGAAAATCTCTTTGTGTTGTGTTATGCATCAAAGTCTGGTACCAATGAGACGCAACTGACATTATTAGATTCTTACTTTGTAAAACTCTAAGAAGATCATATGCAGTAGTATATAAAAAATAAAAGGCCATCTTCCTTTCAAATCTGATTACGAAGAATCTTGTGTCCAAGAAGCAACTGAAATTATTAGATTCTTACTTTGGAAAACTCCTTCGTAAACTAAAATTATGTCTCTGAACTCTAAACATTTTGTATTATTTTTTTCTTGTTTCCATCTTTATATAGGGGAAATCCCTTTGCTTGTTCGAGTGTTGCTAACTGGAAAGCTCCATGGTCCTGACATGGGCTCTAGCATAATCCTTCTCCATCAAGCTGGAACTCGAGACATTGTTTCATCTCAAGTTGCGTTTGTGAGATTGAATGAGAGGTTTGAAATACTGAGGGAAATAGACTGGGAAAATGCTATTTCAGCAAATTGAGAATCCATAGTTTTGATCGGCAATTTTGAACTCTATTCTTTAAGTGCTTAAACTTGACGATGTTTTGAGTGATCGATGTGTATTATATTGAGAAATGAGCATTCATTTTTAATGAGCCACTATCCTTGTGAGCCTTCATTAGAAATTCCAATTCTTTACTATGTTAATGAAACCAAGGTGTCCTAATCCAGGTCTCTGGAAGCTCAGTTGACAAAGGAATATTATCTAATTTTCAATATCAATATGTGTGTGTTCTTTATCTTCTTGCCTTGGTGTTTAGCACAGCTTCTGGGACATGTTGATGCTCTTGAAATATGAAACCTTGGTGCTAAATAATAATAAATAATCTCACCCTCTATTTATTTATTTATTTATTTGTTCTTTTAACATAGGTTGATGTTGTTCGATAGTGCTGCTAGAATGCTATGAGTAAATTATAAATTAGTTCCTCTCATTTAGAGAAACAAATTACTGCATATCTAGTCTTGAATACTTATTATTTACACATAATACAAGGCATCAAATGGAAAGATCTTGTGTAGTAAACTTTAATAAAAAATTAAGAGTTCTGATGCAATTAAGGCTCACTTGATCTGTTTTGGGATGGTGATTCAAAAACTTAGTGAAACAAAGAAAGTTACACAAAAAGTTAATATGAATATTTTATATATTTCCTGCATTTCTCGGTAATCAATATCCAAATAAAGTTACACGAAAAGTTAATATGAATATTTTCTACATTTTTATTTGTTCTAAGTAGAGTAAAGAAGCAGCAAAACACAGATTGAATAATATAAGCACGAAATGTAAAGATGTACTTGTAGTTGGCCTTTAAAAACTGCTTTCTTAAAAGGATGCCAGTGTGGATCTTTATTTGGATCTTTATAATTTGCTTTAAGCCTTTTCCTTGCTGAGGCAAGCATTTGATCAGCATCAAATTTGCTTTCTTTCAGCTGTTCTCTTTATCTCTGCAAAACCATAGATATCAAGTTCTTGAAAAATTCAATGAACTGGAATAAAATATAATACCAATGACTATGTAATCTTTGGAACAAGTAACCTATATAAATTTGATGTTAGGGGTGCTCTTGTTTTGCTTCTTTTATGCAAACATTACAGCATAAGCTTCAAAGGTTTCTATCAAGTCTATATTTATCAGCAAAAGACTCATTTGGCACAATTGATACCTGTACATTATGAAGAGCAGATAAAGAGGCAGGAACTAATTTTGAAGCAAAGATACAGTGAATAGAGTTACATGAAGCTTTAAAACTCTTGAGACTGTATAAAAAGAAAAAAAGACACTCATATCGGTAAACTACAACCCACAATTACATAAATTTTACAACAAAAATGCATTACATCAATGTCTAGCTTTGCAAACTGTTTCATGGATGCTAAACTTCAATCATCTATGCACAGCACAGACCATTTACTCATTTGCTACGGTGAATGACAATATTTGGTACAACAAGCTGAGTTTTGGAGGCTATAAAGTAGCAAGCACCAATCTCTAATCAACTCTGTTTCTTTTGTCACATATATTTGGTGATAAATTTTTGACCATATGGATCTTCCCAAGTAATTTTTTTTGTTGAAAGAGGTTCCAACTTAATCCAGGCATTATCTCCAAATCCAGATTGCCGAATGCTTATCATCTTGCCAATTCTGTTCTCAATTCTGTTAAATGACACTTGCAAGTCAGCCACAGCATGGGATAGGTGAAATATGCACGTGTGCTTAGAGATATGTAACATGACTACCTGATGGGACCATTAGGTGATCCAAGGTGGAATACAACTATAAAACGTGATCCTTCTTTAAATCCTCGTATTTCCGTCCTCAACAAACTTAAAATTATGCCAATGTACGATACATTTTCTACTCTAGAAAGAATTAGCCTGCGCCAAAGGTTGAGACACAACGCATCTAATATAGTTTCTTTAATTCCAAGAATAACAAGTAAAATGGATGAAGTGTGAAAGTCATATTCATGAAATCAAGCATTTTTTCATAGTACAAGGGCACTTTCAGAGACAGTAGCAGCAGTAACAAAATAAGAAAAGAAAAGGAGAAAAGAAGGGATTTTGGCCAAGAGAATTTAAGAAATTAAATAAATAAAACAAAAGAATTTAGAAAGTATTTTAATTTAGGATATTCATATGCTAAAGCACTTTTTTAGTAATTGTGATTTTGAATTATAAGAGTATTTGAATTTTAAGAAATTAGGATAAAGACAACAAGAGAGGGACAGAGAAAACTTAAGTTAATTTTTTTCTTTTATATTTTTAATTTTTTTAAATTGTTATATTAAATATATATTTTAATAGTTAATTAAAAAAGATGACATGGATGCTTACATGGCAAAACTATCATGTTTTGATAAATAAGATTAAAATAATCTTATTTTTATAAATAAGTTTTACAAGTAACCTATTTAGGAAAAAAACTCGAAAAAAAATGCCTTCATTATTGGCACACTTCACTACTTCAGCACAATATCAAAAGTATGGAAGGATATCGGGATCAAAATTGATCCAGTTTCCTTTGGCCTCTACGTGGCTGACAGACGTCCTTAAAAATTATCGAATAATCATTATGGTGTCACGCAATTTCTTTTCTTTTTTCTCATATTGTTTGTCGTTACGTGACATTAACGGAACTCCAAAAAATTAATAATTATAGGAATTTATTTGTGAAAAGAGGAAAAGAATTAAGAAATTTTTTTAGAATTATCACTTGATATTAAAAAAATGAGAAATAAAAAAATAAAAAATAAACACTGATTTAGAGATTTTATGATAAGGAGTTAATTATATTTTTATAGTAAATTTTAAATAATAAACATAATAATATTAAAATAAAATGAGACCAAATCACAATATAATTAAGGTTTGAAATTAAAAAAATATATATAGAAAAATTGAGGATTAAAGTATTAAAAAAATAACATGAATAGTGAAAGGAATAGTGATTTATAAGTGTGTGAATAATATTTTAAATAATAAAAATAAATAGTAAAATTATATTTTATTTTAGTTTTTTTTTTAATAACTGTTGCAGGAGGTTTGACACCATTCTCAGCAAACGGAAACTCCTTTTCAGAGAAAACCACATAGCGTGAGACAAAAATTCTCTAATTGGCAATATGCAAACAAAAATAAGCCTTTGTGAAGCTTGCTATAACCAATATATATTGAGGTAGAGGTTTCGATTTATGCGCAGTATATGGATGTAATTACGGATAACACACACAGCCACCAATAGTCTTAAGTGCCTGATGGTCAGGTGGTTGTTGATACAAAATTTCATATGGGATCCAATTTGATAAACTTAAGAGTAGGAAGGCGAATAATTATAATGTTAACACAACACACGTTAAAGGTTAGGTTCTACTTTTTACACCTTGTACACATATAAAATAGTTTTTTTATATCTTTTTTTAAATATAACAAAACATACGATGAGCCTATTTAGGTTATACTCCAAAAAAATATATATTATTAAATCTATTGAGGTCAAACGTTTTTTTTTTTTTTTTTTTTTTCAGTTAACTTAATCATAGAAAGGTTCTCTGTACACTAGAAAATAACTTATTTTTCAGATACTTGTTACAAAAACGCTAACATAAAGACGAATCTCTACCTTATAATCAATCAAGAAGAAATAATATCTAACCTTTAATATAATATGAGGATCACGAACTTATCAGTGCTTATTGGTTTCTGGTATTTCATATATGAATTATTTGTTTCTGGTATTTCACTGCTTAATGGTTTCAAATATAAAATATCGGAACTCAATGGCAAGAGAAGAAACTTTGAGAAAGACTGCATGAGAAAAAACGAAAAGAAATTGCGTGGCACCATAGTGATCGTTAGATAATTCTTAATGATGTGCCTTTCATCCATGTAGAGACAGGAAATTACACCCATTTTGATCACAATATCCTCAATCCTTTTGATAATGTGCTGCAGAGCCAATAATGAAGACATTTATTTTTTCCTGCGTCGTGCTGTTGAGACCAATAAATGCTGGGTATGATTACTAGGGGACCTAATGGAATAGAATTGCAGCAGATGTTAAACGTGAGCACATCGATTGTGGTGGCTGTGCTCTGCCCCAACTGTCGGATAGAGGTGGGTGTAACTCTTAACTAAGAAATTAAATATTCCTTAGACCAAATTAAACAAAAGTAATTATGATAGTTGAGTGGTGGCTGTCCTCTGCCCCAACTTTCAGATAGAGGTAGGTGTAAGTCTTAACTAGAAATTGAATATTTCTCAGACCAAATTAAATAAAAGTTATCTCTAAATAAAAGTAATTATGATAATTGAATCACTCTTCCATATTCATTATATTTATACTCATTAAAAAATTATTTCTAAATTCATATTCGATTTCTACCCAATTTATTTATCTAAATAATATATTTTATTTTAATTCTTGTAATTTAAAAAAAAGTTATTTTGATCCTTCAAATTATTTTTTCTTAATTTATAAGTTTTTTTTTCGATAAAGGTTCCATAAAAAATATTTTGTTCATTTTTTTATAAAATTTAAACAATTAAATCTTAATATGTTAATTTTTTTTCATATATATATATAATGAATATTAATATTAAAAATTATATTAATGAATATGTATTATTTTATTTTTATTAATTTTAATATCGATTATGTATTTTAATATATATTTATTAGAAAGAATAAAATAGGTATCGGCTTTGAGCTTATCTATTATCATCCTTATTCACAACGTACTTTTTTTAATTAAAAAAACATATCTAGACTAAGAAGTTTATGTGAAGCGTCTATCTAATAATTTGCTGGACCCATAGACAGAAATCCAAAAAGACAGCTTGAAAATACAAACAACACACTAATTTTTAAGCAGTCTTGATTTTCTATCCAAGTGTTCGCAAATCATATTAAATATTAATTTGAAAAGCTTACTCAAAGGCCCACCATGGAATGACCGCAATTGTCGTCAAATGCTA